GGGGCTCGAACCCACGAACGGGGAGATCATGACCTGAGCCGAAGTCGGAAGCTTAACCTACTGAGCCACCCAGGCGCCCGTTTTAGCTACTCTTACCTATCCTCATCCCGGCTGCCAGTATATAAGGGAGGGTGTTTGTGGAATGTAGGCCTTGAGGAAGGGACTGTTATGTTTCACCAATTAGCAAAGATATATGTAGTATCTATGTTTCGCTCTTAACCCCAAAATAGGCCCTTAGTCTCAGGGCCAGGCTCAATTGTTATTCTTGTGTTCTTAACCCCCTAAGTCTTGGATCTGCAAGGCCCATAGAAACAGCCTTTTAACAATCACCCACAGAGCTTTCATCTAAAATCTCTCTTGCAAAGGCAGGAATATGCTTTTCCTTATGAGGTATCTGTGTTCAGAATATGGGTCTGATATGGAATATTGTGAGGCCTGGTCAATACCAGCAGGCTCATTTCCAACATGAGCCAGTAGTAGCACAAGGAGATACCAGTTTTCATTTCTCATGGCAGGAGCTGTGCAAACACTGCCATTTCCTTGCTGTGACTGCCATCCAGAGAGGCCGGTGCGGCTCCCGGCAGGGCACCATGAGCCAGAGGATGGCCAGTCCTCTATCCCACGTCCCCGGGGAGCAGGAGATGGAAAGTAGGTGGCCTGCACCTGTTACTTAGAAGGGGATGGGGTGGAGGGCACTTTTAGAGCGCTCAACTCTAGGTGGTTATTTTCAGAGGTGCCCCCGGAGAAAGCAAAGCAGGAACTCAGGATAGTATCGCTCATCTTGAATGTGCAGACCCTGGGCGTGAGCTGGGTTGACTTACGGTCATGTGTCTGCACAGGAACTGAGAAGAGCTGACTTCTCATCACCCTTGACCCTGAGAAGAGGATACAAGATTTCCTGCTACATGTCCAAATACCTTTGTTCTTTTTCCCTCATTCTTTGCTAGTTGTCGGTATTACATACAGGCTTCTTGGCCACCTGTGTGCCTCAGTCGGTCAAACGTCTGACTTTGGCTCAGGTCATGATCTCGCTGTTTGTGAGTTCGAGCCCCTAGTCAGACTCTGTGCTGACAGCTCGGAGCCTGGAATCTGCTTCAGATTCTGTGTCTCCCTCTCTCTCTGACCCTCCCCCACTCATGCTCTGTCTCTGTGTCTCTCTGTCTCTGTCTCTGTCTCAAAAATAAACGTTAAAATTTTTTTCAAAAACTTTTGTCAAAAGCATTCCCAGTATGTCTTTTATGGTATTTTTTTAAGTTTATTTTTGGGGGTGCCTGGCTGGCTCAATCGGTTAAGCATCTAACTCTTAATTTTGGCTCAGGTCACAATCTCAGGGTCATGGGATCGAGCCCCAAGTTGAGCTCTGCACTGAGCCTAAGATTGTCTCTCTGCCCCTTGGCCTGGCTTGTTCTCGCGTGCTCTCTCTCAAAAAAAAAAAAAAAAAAAGTTAATTTTTTAAAAATAATGTCTCCACCCAACATGGGGCTCAAACCCATGACCCCAAGATCAAGAGTGACCTGCTTTTCAAACTGAGCGTGCCAGGTGCCCATAAAGAGTTATTTTTTGAATAAGCATCATAGGTCCCAGAGGAAAATTCAAATGGTGCAGTGAGCAGGAACTCCCCCTCACACTTCCGCTCCCCCCACCCATTCCCCCCTCCCCCCCTCCCCCAGACAACAACTGCTGGTCCCAATTCCTGGTAAGTCCTGGCCCACTGAGTTCTACACACTAGTGGCAAACACATGTATTCTCTCTCTGGCTTCAGCCTTGTAAGACCTGATGGTGGTGCAACATCCCCAGCACTTGGCACCTTGCTTTCCTTCCTGGTGGGAATCTGGTGTGCAGGGTGGTCACAGATGGCCTCACACGGGTCCCTACAGCCTTGCACGTGGTGCCGCCAAGGCCAAGGGGCTTGGCAGATAGGATGAGGTTTGCAGGCCTTCGTGTAGGGGGATCCTCCTGGATTATCTGGGTGGCCCGACTTGTAGAGCTGAATGTGGCCCCCTAAGTCGGTTCACCCCCTGATCCTCAGACCCTTGGAATGTTACCTTGTATGACCGAAGGGACTTGACAGACGTGATGAAGGTAAGGACCTGGAGATGGGGAGATGATCGGGAATAATCTTGCAGATAGGGGCAGGGGCGGAGAGCCAATGAGTTTAGGAAGGTTCCAGAAGCTGGAAAAGGCAAGAAAATGGGTTCTCTCCTCTCAGCTTCCAAAAAAAAATGAGCCCTCCCAACACCTTGATTTTTGGCTCAGTGAGATCCACATCAGAATTCTTTCTTCCTCCGCCGCCACCTCCAGATTTTGAGAACATTTTCTTTTCTTTTTTTTTTAAGTTTATTTTTGAGAGACCCTGTGAGCAGGGGAGGGG